TCCTCAAATCGAGAACAGATGCCTTTCTGGAAGACATGCTTTACACAAACGCAAATTATGCTTTAGTCCAGGGGTGGGCAAACGCCGGATCTGGCCCATCAGGGCTTTGGATTCAGCCCATAGGATTGCCACCCCCGTGGCGGCAGGGGCACCATGTCACTGCAGCCCGTAGAGGTTGGGGGGGCAGAGGACTCCATGCACTGCCCTCGCCTGTGGATACCTCCCCCAAAGCTCCCATTGGCTGGGAACTGGGAAGTGCGGCCAATGGGAGCTTCGGGGGGAGGTACCCATAGGCGAGGGCAGTGCGCGGAGCCCTCTGCCCCTCCTTCTCCAGGGGCCGCAGGGGTGTGGTGCAGGCTGCTTCTGGCAGTGGTGTGAGGCCAAGGCAGGCAGGCAGGCTGCCCTGGCCCCGGTGCGTGCCATTGCCACCCTGGAGCCGCTCCAGCTAAGTGGCGCTGGGCCGGAGCACGCACCCTGAACCCCTACCGCACCCTGCACCCCAACTCCCTGCCCTGAGCACCCTGCTGCACCCCTCCTGCATCCCAAAAAACCCTGCCCTGAGCCCCCTTCCGCACTCCTCCCTGCACCCCTGCCCTGAGCCCCCTCCCACACTTCGCATCTCCCCTCACCCCAACCCCCTTCCCTGAGCCTCCTCGTACGCCCTGTACCCCTCCTCTGCCCCAACCCCTTGCCCTGAGTCCCTTCCTGCACACCTCACCCCCTCCCACATCCTACACTCTCTCCCGCACCCCAACCCCCTGCCCCAGCCCTACATTCATGGCCCTGCATGCAATTTCCCCAGCCAGATGTGGCCCTTGGGCCAAAAAGTTTGCCCACCCCTGCTTTTAGTCAAACACAGGTTACTGGGTTCAATACAGGGATAACTGGGTAAAATTTGATGTCCTGTGATATACAAGAGGACAGACTAGCTCAAATGGTCTCTTCAGACCTTAAACTGTGAACCTATGAGAACCTATAAGGAACCTGATCAATTATGGACATAAATGGAAATTGCCAAGCCATCCTAGTGAGCATCTCTTTCAAACAGACCCACGGTGCTGCTTCTCCAGTTTTATCTGCTTGAAAACATGCCTTCAACATAGAAGAAAAAAGTCTTTTGGTGAATCCAACCCACTTCAGCCAAAGAATGTGTGAATAACTTGTACGCTAGAAAATTGTTTTGTGTTTAAACATGATTGGGAATACGCTAACTGGCAGATATGATGCTTACTATGACTCTGTGGTCAGTCCAGCTAAGGGCAAGATGTGTTCAGCATCCTGTCAGCTGGCTGTGGTTAAACTCTGAGTGCATGATACTCCGCCCCCTCCTCCTATGCTGGTAAAGAGAGAGAGAGAGGTCTGAGGGGTTTTTTGCTCAGCTCCCAGTGCACTGGCCAGCATGCTGAACTGGCATGTGAAGAGTAGGGGGGGAAGTAACCTCTTACTGGTCAGGAGCAGTAGAAGACTTCTTGCCCCTGGAATCAAGGGGGAGCAGGAATAATTATGATCCCTTTTTTTTTTTTTGCTGCCTTCTGGGGCAGCACAGCTACTTGTTGCCCCTTGCACATGGCAGTATCTAAAAGCAGTCTAGCTTTTAGGCTGTAATATTTTGACAGACTGGTCTCTCTCTCTCTCTTTTTTTTTTTTTAAAGGACTTTATACACCCATGTTGATGTATAAAATAGATTTTGTGTGTGTGTGTGTGTGTGTAAAATACTGTCATACTTTTTCAAATAAAAAAATTGTTTGGTCCAACTTTTGTAATAGGGTCAGCAGTTATCAGAACTCAATCCTGCTCCCATCAGATTCAGTGGCAAAATTCCCATTGACTTCACTGGGAGCAGGTTCAAAGGATCTAGCTAAAGAGCTGAGAAAAAAGGACCAAAGACTAATCCTAAATATAATAAACCTAACCAGATACTTTCTTGGTTAGACACTGGAAGGGACTTGGTTGTCCCTTGAAGGTCTTCTGTGCCTGAACTAAAGGATGGATAAAGGTGATTCCATATGAAGTATGAGTTAATGAGCATGTGGAAGGAAATTTTTGTAGTTCCTCATGTCTGAAGTAGTTTTTTAAAAAATAAATAGGTTGTCTTCAGAGCAGAGGTTGTAATTCTTCATGTCTGGTTCAGCGGCATCAGGTTTATAGCTTCAAAACGTTAATCAACGTATTAGGTTTCTTAAAGACTTTAAGACAAAACCAAACATACAAGCAAAACCTTTACAATTAGAAGTAGGTTAGTCAGTTTTTGTCTGTCCACCAGCCAAATTCCAGTGTTCCACTGCCCAGAGGTACACAATCTGGTTATATGCTTTATATGTTAAAGGCAGAATCTCTGACTTTGGAACAGCACCAAACCTTATTAAAACAAGGAGCTTCCAAATGTTTTGGGAACATAAATAGAATGGCTTTTATATAGCAGGTTGTCTATATACCAGACAAAGGCTTTAAAAACCTTTATTTGTTCTAATTCATACCATAGAAAGATATTGGCCTTTAGTCAATGTTTTTAAACATATAACCCAAAATTGCAACATAACAAAGTCTCAGAAAATGAATAAACCCAAAATTATCCAATTTCTGTTTCCCTTTTGTTTAAACTCCTTGACTGAATTCTGTATTGCAAGCTTTACTTTAAGCAAGAGTTGGCAAAAGCTGCTGAGTCTGCATGAATCTTTCTAAAGAAGTCTCTGACTTATCTGTGTGCTCGTCTTCATGCTTTTGTAAGACTACAGATGAGGTGAATACTTCTGTTTGAAAAATAATGTATAGTAGTGTAACATAGGATCAAAATTTGTATTAATTTTGCACTAAATTGTACAGTTGGTAACACATCATTAAACCTAAATGTTCATTCATACATGATGGGTGCAAACGGTGGAACACTGAATGGTACTCCTTTTGATCACATCTTAACACAATTATCCATGCAAATTTCAGATTATGAAGAGATGCATTTATAATTTAGATGACACTGTTTGTATTTGTTGAGGTACAATATACCTCTTTCTATGAGTTCACTTACCTGTAGTAAAAATGGTATTGTTGTGAATAGCATTTGTTTAAAGACTGAAGCAGTAACAAACAAACATAATGACACATCTGGGTGTGTCTTATGGTTATTGCAGTTACATTAATTTTTCCATACACTTAATTTTTCATGGGGCTGGTATGTAGTGTATGGAAACTGTTTCTGTTAGATCACAGAGCATAAGGAAGCACTTTAAGAAAAAGAATTCATCAGGTCTTTTTACGTTTTTCCCTTTCTAGTTGTTGATGTTGTCATTCAGTAGATTCAGATGAGCAGCGATTGGAAGAAGTGATGCCTTCTTTCCTGTTCAGGGTTGAAGCTCTTGCTAGTATATTTGTTTTCAGTTCTTGCTTTACAATGGCATGCATGTTGTGTGGCTAGTATTCTACTGAATTTCTTGCTTCTGATGTCTTTACTTCAGTTGGTTTGTAGATGATAGTGTATTCATACTCATTCGTGGTGGTGATAATTTCCCAACTGGTAAAGCTTCCCTTTTCTTTTCCATTGTATATGTCCCTTGGATGTTTGGAAAATCTTGAAACCAGGGTTGACAGAAGAAGAATGGTATAACAGCATAGTAATATAATGGTGTAATGAAGAAGCAATACATTAAGCATTATGTGAAGCAATAGATTTGTCATCAGATATTAAGCATTTCCCCACCGCTACCAGTACTTAGTTTATGATGCAAAATGTATGGCAAGCTGTGGGAGAGCCTGGCACAATTAAAAGCAAAACTGGCCTAATAAGTCTGTGGGAATAACAGTCTGACACAACCAAAAAAACATGTTTTACTGCAACGATGTTGTTCCAGCAATAACATTGAGGTGTTTATCAGATGCAGTATCAAGTTAAACCATTACAAGACAGTGTAGGAAGTTAAAGATTATAGTGAGATAACGGAACAGTAAATGAGTATTTCCTAAATCTAGCTGATAAGAGAAACAAGGACATGCTGCCTGCTAATAGCAGTGTTCCTCTTAGTGTGACTGAGTGTAGAGTTATTAAGACAAAGGTCATGCAAAAATAAGCATAAGGATACTGAAAACATAACACTTTTTTCATACATTTGCACTCTTCATTTGGAATCCAGTTTTTTTAAAAAGGCTAAGTAGTTTCAGATCCTATATATGCATCTGAGAGATTTTGAAGTTTTATGATGAGAGAACATCTTTTTTTAAAAACGTTTTTTCTTTTTTTGTTGCTGTGTGAAAGACCTCTATGAACTGAGAAAACTGGCAATATACAAAATGGATAGACAGACACAGGAAAAAATGTTGCCCCCCTCAGATCTTTCATTTATAGTAATCTTCATGTTTAGTTGGAACAATAACTGGTAAAGAAAAAACTTTAAAAAATTGTCTGAAATTGTCTGGGCTACCCTGGGGGGAGGGTCGAACTAAGATACACAACTTCAGCTACGCTATTCGTGTAGCTGAATTCGAAGTATCTTAGTTTGACTTACCAGGCCGTCCTCACGGCGGCAAGTCAACCGCAGCGGCTCCCCCATTGACTCCGCTTACTCCTCCTGCCTAGGTGGAGTGCGATTAAATCGATCCCCGATAGATCAATCACTATCCGGCGGGTAGTGAAGACGTACCCTAAGTGTTTTATACACTGGATTAGGGAGTAGTAATTAAGAACATACTGAGACACAAAGCAGTAAGTATATTTGAGGCTAGTCAGAGAGTATCCATTGGGCGATGGCAGGGGGAACAAAACCAAGAAGGCTCTTGACTGGAAAACTACAAGAGAAGTCCCCTCCCTGCAGATGTGGATAAATAAATGCAAAACACACAATGTGCAGTTGATGTGACTATTTGGATAGATAGTGAACTCTTGGCATTTTAACCCAGTGTTAATTTGGGGGATAAAAAGGTTCTTAACCCAAAACTTGATAATACAGTTTATACCTCTTAGCATCTTAACAACAAAATGTTATATATGGGATTTTTGTTTTTATGTGCAAGACATATGCTCTCTAGTAAAGCGAGCATCACTTAAGGATTCAACCCCTCTGAAGAATTGAATGTTTATCATCAGGTGGATAATGAATGCCTTAAGTTTGACAAGATGAACAGAAGACAATATAAAGGACATCAGTTCTGCTATAGCACTGGTGATAGAAGGTAGGAAGGATTTCCAAAGGCCTAAAAGTCCCTGCTTGCTGTTACTGTCTCTGTTCTTTTGAGAAGTGCATAGTGCATCTTTCCCACAGGACAAGACTCAAATGATAATAGTCTCATGTACATACCATGTATGCATGTTATCATACTCAGAACTTCAGAAAAAATAAACAGTTAGTTTAAAATTTAGGAAAGCACACTATCAAGTTTCAGGTTTCAAAATTCAACTGTTATTACTGTAGCCTAAAAATAAGTTGGTTAGAATTTTTTTTAATGGTAGTGTTTTTTTAACTATACCATAATTTTAAAAAATGTGACAATGGTTTGTATTTTGTATATTGTCAAAGTTAAGGGGGATATTTTTTAATATAATCTTCTGGGTATGTGGAACAATTTCAGCCCAAAAGGGGTATTTTGGGAAAAGTCAGAGCTAAGGAAGATGTAGAGACAACAGTTCTGCAACCTTAACTTTAGTGGTTGCTGGTATAATTAAACAACTAAAGGATGACTTACTGGTAAACTCTTTGGGTGAAATTCATCCCAGTTCACAGGTCAGGTAGGTCTTACACCTTTAACATGAGCTTAAGTAGTGCTAAGTGGGTTGGAGGGCCTTGAGCATGCTCTCTGTGCTGAGATGAATTTAATCCTTGGGGTCCTATTCAATAGGAACTAAGCTTCTGTGGGCAGTGATTATGAAAGTTTGCAGATTTCTTGTGCTGTGCATCTGTACATTCAGAATATGTGAGCACAGCCTAAAATCTCTACTCTGGGTGCAGTCTTGCTCATGTATATTTGCTGAGCAGGGTATTGCAGACAGAAGTGCTGAACTGTTGATGGAAGGGATTCATAGAATCATAGAATATCAGAGTTGGAAGGGACCTCTGGAGGTCATCTAGTCCAACCCCCTGCCCAGAGCAGGACCAATCCCCAACTAAATCATTCTAGCCAGGGCTTTGTCAAGCCTGAGCTTAAAAACTTCTAAGGAAGGGGATTCCACCACCTCCCTAGGGAATGCATTCTAGTGTTTCACCACCCTCCTAGAGGAAAAGTTTTTCCTAATATCCAACCTAAATCTCCCCCACTGCAACTTGAGACCATTACTCCTTGTCCTGTCATCTGCTATCACTGAGAATAGTCTAGATCCATCCTCTTTGGATCCACCTTTCAGGTAGTTAAAAGCAGCTATCAAATCCCCCCTCATTCTTCTCTTCCGTAGACTAAACAATCCCAGTTCCCTCAGCCTCTCCTCATAAGTCATGTGTTCCAGACCCCTAATCATTTTTGTTGCCCTCCGCTGGACATTTTCCAATTTGTCCACATCCTTCTTGTAGTGTGGGGCCCAAAACTGGACACAGTACTCCAGACGAGGCCACACCAATGTCGACTCTGCACTTGTCCTTGTTGAATCTCATCAGATTTCTTTTGGCCCAATCCTCCAATTTGTCTAGGTCCCTCTGTATCCTATCCCTACCCTCCAGTGTATCTACCACTCCTCCCAGTTTAGTGTGATCGCCAAACTTGCTGAGGGTGCAATCCACACCATCCTCCAGATCATTAATGAAGATATTGAACAAAACCGGCCTGAGGACCGACCCTTGGGGCACTCCACTTGATACCGGCTGCCAACTAGACATGGAGGCATTGATCACTACCCGTTAAGCCCGACAATCTAGCCAGCTTTCTGTCTACCTTATAGTTCATTCATCCAGCCCATACTTCTTTAACTTACCAGCAAGAATACTGTGGGAGACAGTGTCAAAAGTCCTTTGCTAAAGTCAAGGAATAACACGTCCACTGCTTTGCCTTCATCCACAGAACCAGTTATCTCATCATAGAAGGCAATTAGATTAGTCAGGCATGACTTGCCCTTGGTGAATCCATGCTGACTGTTCCTGATCACTTTCCTCTCGTCTAAGTGCTTCAGAATTGATTCCTTGAGGACCTGCTCCATGATTTTTCCAGGGACTGAGGTGAGGCTGACTGGCCTGTAGTTCCCAGGATCCTCCTTCTTCCCTTTTTTAAAGATTGGCACTACATTAGCCTTTTTCCAGTTGTCCGGGACTTCCCCTGATCGCCATGAGTTTTCAAAGACAATGGCCAATGGCTCTGCAATCACATCCGCCAATTCCTTTAGCACTCTCAGATGCAGCACATCCGGCCCCATGGACTTGTGCACGTCCAGCTTTTCTAAATAGTCCCGAACCACTTCTTTCTTCACAGAGGCCTGGCCACCTCCTCCCCATGCTGTGCTGTCCAGTGCAGTAGTCTGGGAGTTGACCTTGTTCGTGAAGACAGAGGCAAAAAAAGCATTGAGTACATTAGCTTTTTCCACATCTTCTGTCACTAGGTTGCCTCCCTCATTCAGTAAGGGGCCCACACTTTCCTTAGCTTTCTTCTTGTTGCCAACATACCTGAAGAAACCCTTCTTATTACTCTTAACATCTCTCGTTAGCTGCAACTCCAGGTGTGATTTAGCCTTCCTGATTTCACTCCTACATGCCCGAGCAATATTTTTATACTCCTCCCTGGTCATTTGTCCAATCTTCCACTTCTTGTAAGCCTCTTTTTTGAGTTTAAGATCAGCAAGGATTTCACTGTTAAGCCAAGCTGGTCACCTGTCATATTTACTGTTCTTTCTACACATTGGGATGGTTTGTCCCTGTAACCACAATAGGGATTCTTTAAAATACAGCCAACTCTCTTCGACTCCTTTCCCCCTCATGTTATTCTCCCAGGGGATCCTGCCCATCAGTTCCCAGAGGGAGTCAAAGTCTGCTTTTCTGAAGTCCAGGGTCCGTATTCTGCTGCTTTCCTTTCTTCCTTGTGTCAGGATCCTGAACTCGACCATCTCATGGTCACTGCCTCCCAGGTTCCCATCTACTTTTGCTTTTGACAGTGGGGATGGGAGCTTTTGGGTGGAGATATTGTGGATAGGAGGAGTCTGAGTGGCACAGGGAGAGATGGTGGATGCTGAGCAGGGGAATTGGAAGCCAAGGGTGGGAGGGATCAATAGCTTTTATGGTGTGTGGTAGGAGCTGAATTGGTACTACATAATGATGGTGAGGTGTAATGGGGCATATACAGTGAACTGCAGCTGGAAGAGATAACTCAGGACTCTAGAATTCTGGTCCCAAGGATAGAAATTGAGCTCAAGCTATTGGGGGTGGTTACAGGTAGAGTAACTTACTCAAAAAAGTTGGTATGATAAGTTTCCCATGATGGCAACCTGTGCACTATTCTCACTGTGGACATCACCCTGATTGTCTTCCCCATCCCTTGCTGCACACCTTCTTTATACAAAACCTGTTGGTTTTGGACCCAGATCTATTCTAAATTTCCAGTTATGTCTCATATCCATTTAAAAATAAAGGACATTTTAAATGACTATTTTTCTTTCAAATGTTAACTTTCATGGTCAGTTTTGTTTCTTAAATTGCAGCTCTGTGAAATGAGGATTTAAGGAAGTAGATTGTACACATGGAGACAGATTCTCCACTCTCATTGGCATAATTCCACTGAATTCAATGGACTTAAACCAATATGAGAGGGGAGGCGGGTTTATGGACCCTGGATTGACTTAAAACTATTTAAAGTTGTTAAATTTACTCAGTGCGGTATCACCACTGTTAACTTTAATTTTGTTCCATTTTTTTTAACCCAAGAAGGTGAAAAAAGCCATAAGGTTTAGGGTGTTCTTGTAAGTTGTTAAATTTAGGGTGAGTTGAAAATTTATATTTTTCCCCCCTAAAAATAGAAGATTTTTTAAAAAAAAGAACCATAAGGTCTTTAAAATAAAGGGAAAAAAATAGAGAGATTTATTCACAGAAAACAAATATTTACCTGAGAACACTCAACCATGCAAATGTTCTGCTGTCTGACAAATACATAGTCTAAAATTTTTTCATCATGTTGTGATACACACATTACTTCGTAGCAAAAAAGCTATTCCAGCTGTCCAGGTAAATATGTGTCTTATATATTCTAAATCTCAATAAAATTTTTTGTAGTAATGTCTGACAGAGCACAGTCATTCTGTCTATTCAGATGGCAGATATTCTCTCTACATGCTAAAAATAGCTTTTAAAATGATGTGTACACATGCAAAATGCCTTCATACAGGATCCCATTTTTACACTTTAATATGTTGTTTTTAAGTAATCTACAAGAAATTAGATAATTTAAGATTTAAATTTCTTGCTAAATTAATGTTGAACTTTTGTTTTAGCGTGTTTGTGTCTCTGTGTGTTTATAATAAATGTGTGTTTGTGTGTGCATGCGTGTGTGTGTTTACCTAAATATTCAGGGTGGGAAGACACCTTGGTAAATAAAATTAAGGAGTTCAACCATTTAGTGACCGCTCATTAGTCAGTATTTTAGCAATCTTGAAATCAAATATTTATAACATGGTCATTTTCTCTGTCATTGTCTTAATATGGGCTAGTTCTTAAAGGCTAAGCTAGTTCTCCTAGAGACTTCAATATTTCCTATCACTAATCAGACTTTTTCTCTATTTTTTTTAACCCTACTTTCCTTAGGATAAGATGGTGAATTTTAATTGAACTAATGACTTTTTGTGAGGGGAGTGTAAAATGTGGAGTGTACGTGTTATGGTATGTTTTATAAAGAAGCATGTACACAAACAGGGCTGTAAAATGCTTAATACGTGCAGTTTTGTATAGTGCCTTTCTTTTGAGGATATCAAAGTGCATCATAGTGTATCATTATTCACATTTTTCAGATGAGGAAATGTAAACAAAGGAAGTTTAAATGACTTGCTTGAAATCACATAGCAAATTTGGCAATAGAAATGGGAACAGAACACACATGGCTCTGATGCTAAGGCCAGATCTACATTACAGACTTATATCGGTATCAGTGTGTTGCTTGGGGTGTGAAAAGTCCACACTCCCGAATGAGGTAGTTATACCAACCTAACGCTCTGTGAAGATAGCACTATGTTGATGGGAGAGCTTATCCCGTCGACATAGCTACCGCATCTTGGG